TATTATTAATAGGTATTATAAATTTTTAAATAAATAACCTCTTTTTATCATCTAGATTATTTTAACCTCCTTACATATATTCTTTGTACCATCCAGATTATTTCAACCCCTTTAAATATATTTATCTATATTTAATTTTAAATATACTTACTTTAAATATATTTCAACCCCTTTAAATATATACAAATTTTATTACTAATAAGTATTATAAATTTTTAAATAAATAACCTCTTTTTATCATCTAGATTATTTCAACCCCCTTAAATATATTTAGCTATTACGATTTCATGGCAGCCCATCAAATTAGAGATAATAAAAGAATTGCGAATAATGTTCCTTTAAATTGATGTATCCGAATAAAATTTCCGTGACCCCATTCCGCTTTACAACCCCATTCGGGGTCGCGAACTATAGTTTAAGAATGCTATAAAAGTCCGTGTGTAGCAGTATAACGAGAATCTACAGTCGTTGTAACATGGAGGTTAAAAAAAGCGAAGTCGGTACGCGACATTAATTCCCTGCCACAATTCAATCGCTCGTCCAACGAATCGTATGAACGGATCAACGGATAAGGTGTTAACGAGAAGATTAGTGAATGCATTCCCTAGACAGAGCTCGTGTTAATCGATCGAAAACATCTTTCTCGTTGCAGGGCAACATCGTGTGGTCCACGACATCGTTCCAGAGAGCAAGCACGGAAAACGGATCTCGAAGAACAAGGGACGCCATCGAATGGAAGCAGCGTGTTCAACGGACGAGAGAAAAGGGGTCGCAGTTGAATTCGACGTTCGAAAAAAAAAAAGAAAAAAACGAGGACAGCAACGGGCAAAAATCTCTTCTCCCTTTTCTTTTTCTATCTGTTCTTCTGTCGTCTCTCTGTTTGCTTCCCGGGGGGTAGAAATTGTCGGAAACACAATAAACGAGCGAAAATATTGCAGCCAAATCAAATTCAAGTCCCATGCGTGTAAAACTGCAGTCAACTAGAATATATACATATACCGTACATATGTTTTTTTTTCGCTGGTAGTTCGCTCGACGTTCGTTTCAATGGTTTTTAATTTTCTCCCGGTGGAATCGGCATTTCGCTCGTCGATCATTTACGCGTACAAAAAGAATTAAAATAGAACGTGACTGGTTGTTGAACGAGTATCGATTCTCGCCAACTTTGGAACTCGAAAACTTGAATTATTTGCTCGGGAAGCGGAGAGAGGTAGAAAGAAAAGGGGGAAGACGTAAACCTTATCCGCAAGCACGCGCGGATCGTTAGAACATTCCGTGGACACGGCGATTCCGTTTTACGGGATTTCAGAAAGAAAAGCTCCACCCGGATGACCTGGGTTCTTGTAATAGGATTTCCGGAACCGACGAGTTTTCTTAAGGGCAATGTCTTCGAGGCAGCGTAATCGCGTTTATTAACACGGGATAACCCTTTCGGTGTTCAGCCGATCTTATACATAATACTAGCAATTTAAAAGTGTTGGCAATATAAATCAAAAACCTGTCACGTTATTTGTAATAAATATTAGTAATATAAGGATCATGAGGTTTCACTGTTCATTTCAGTGAACACCGAAAGGGTCACCCTCTTAGTATCGGCAGAATAAAGTTTCAAAAGGAAACATCCATTTATTTGTAAAGAATTTTGAATTTAAAAGAGTTTATTAGAGAACGTTTGATCAAAGAAAGCTGCCTCGGAAAACAGTGACCCGTTCCGAATCTGATACAAAGCAACCACGAAGAGAAACGCTCCTCGGTTTTCGAGCAACAACGGTTCGTCGAAGTGTGTACCCGTATGCGTCCAGGACGCTCTTGTACAAAGTATTCCTTGTATCCCCTTCGAGCAACGCGCGTATGTGTGCGTGCGTGTGTGTGTGTGCAGGTCGAGTAACGATCGATCGAAACATCAAACACCGGAGTGTCGAGCGTTTTTCGGGAATGAAAGCGAGACAAGACAAGGTTACCGCTTGGAAATTGGTGGACAGAGTTCGCGTACGGTGGTTACCACCTAGTGGCAAGTTAGTTGTGTTATTACGGTGGAGGTTGGAGAAATCGAGCGGTACTTTAATTAACGGAACCACGGCGAACATCGTCGTAAGAATCGTTATACCTCGACAGCGGACGAGTAATTACATTTTCCCTGCACCGAATCGTGACGTCGTTCTCGATTGGCCTCGTCGGAACGATCGTCGAGATAGAGGTAAAAAGAATTCGAGAGAAGAATAAAAATTTGGACGGATATGTTCATTCCTAATTAAACTAATTATAAATACAATATTTTTTATTATTAAATTTATGTAGGGGTAGTAAAAGGTATTACACGCCATTATGGCGTCGATATGAAATATAAAATCTCGAGAGCAGGGTTTCAAAAATTTTCATTACCTCATTAAATTATTAAAAATTAAAAATAGACATCTTACGTCCTCCGAAAGATCAAAATGGCGGTTGAAGTCTCGATCGATCGAGAGAACACGCACACACAAGCACGTTCGCGCTTACTTTTTACAATTTTTAGAGCTATAAAGGATTACGTATAATAGATAGTCGTCGAAGGAACTAGCGAACAGTGTTCCAACGTTCTTCAATCGAGAGAAGAGGAAGTACTTTTTGCCATTCTTAGCGTTAACAACCAAAGAGACATTGAGAGAACGAAGAAAAAAATAAAATCGTGGTAGCGTATGATGTCCGTGCAAGCTTACTAGTGCCGCCGTGCTTTTTCGTTACGAAATTCATTTCGTCGCTCGTACCTATCGAACGATTTGTATGAAAGTCATCGTGAGTCATCGATGGCTCGTTGTTCCGTCTGGTGGCACGTATCCAAATTACGACGAAACGAGCTCGTACAAGCACTTTGGTCTTTCAACGTAGCTTCATCCAGTTTCGATTCCTTTCGTCTTCAAAAGCCAACTGTCGAGAAATTATTAATGCGAATAATATGACGCCGATCGGCAATCAAATGGAACTACGAGCCTGCATTAAAAAAAAATAATAAAAGAGGAATGTATTTTATGATATTTTACGCATACGATCGTAAATCGAATATAGCGATTAGTCCAAGGTAAACTTAAGTAGAGATGTATAAATGAAGATGAGGAAAGGTGTCATACAATTTGCGAGGGCTGAACGTGTCGATTTTACGAGCAAACGGACAACGTTACGATCGTACCAATCATAGTTAATTATTAATTATCGATGGATCGATTGATGTCGGTCCGAACACGATCGTGGAAGATTACGACCAAACTACTTCCGAGAGATTCGTTTGCTTTACTTTCGCAGAAGTCGGAGCATCGATTATCGACCCCCAATCCCGTCGAGCCCTAAAATACGGGATACAACGCTAAGCGCCACTGTAAAATATTGTATATTGTTTCGCGTTATTTATTTTTCAATCTTTTTAATAGGAGACGCGTTTTTACGATACCCAAGAGAATTATAGGAAAACGACTTGTTCTGATCCGCGGTGCTGTCCAGTGACGACCATAAAGTCTGCACGTTTTTCCACGACGAAAATACAGGTTCGAATTTCCAAATTCCTCTGTGTAAAAGTTTCTTTCTCGGCGCTTTTTATTCGAATATTAAGACTTTTTATTGTAGCTGAGCTGTCGATAGCGTATTCCGTCGATCACGAAAACGCATCATCACGTTCGGTCGTTTGTCGAAAATGCGGACCTTAAAACTGGCACGTACACGAAGACAGTTACAGCGGATCAGCCGGATTATAGTATGTTTATAAACTTCAACGTATTTCCAGCAGCTTTTGCAGTGTGTTAAATAAAGAGAATCGAAACGAGATTCTAGGCGAGATTCGAAGAGCGTATACGGCTTGCGAAGGATCATTAACAGCCCTCGGGTAATCGAAGCAAGCAAGCTTGCCTTGTTCTCGAAAGTTAAAGTGTAGGTCGATAAAGAGAGGGCCGACCGAACGATTCGTTTTGTACGATACGTGACAGCGATTCGCGTTAGTTTGAAATAGCGAACGAAAGTGCACTATGAATCGTAAAGGCTAATCACTAGCAGCACTAACGAATTAATAGGGAAATTGTTCGCCGTAAGGGACAAAACGAATGCTGCAATTTATTAAACGAAGCATAAGAAAAAAGCCGCTGTGTTGATGTTTCCTAAAAATGGTCTTCGATTTGCGTTCGAAGAGGTCGGGGTACAGTAGGTACCGTGAACGAGAATGTTACGACCAAATAACAGTTACTCGACATCGCGAGAGAATCACAGATGATAATAGTTTACGTAAGGCACGAAGATTTGTATTAAGTTTTGGTTGACTGCGCACAAATGAAAAAAACAATTGGACGCCGCGATTTAACCCTAAGGGTGCGTTTAGACTACACGAGCGAGGATGTATCTTAAATTTCTTCTAATAATATCTCAGATCACGATTTGAATCACGTCAAAAATTAAACAGAATCAAGATTATTTGTTGAAACGTTCCTATTAGATTCATTCATATTGAATATCCAATCTGATACCTATACATTTGAAATTTTGCCAAAACAAGAAAAGAAGCTAGCTCAGTCTAAGCGCACCTTATAGATACCAATGTGTACGTGCTCCCAGAAAATTTGTATTTTGTATTCGCGTTCTCAGAGTTTTTTGTTTCATGATTCGTATGTTAACCGCAACGTTATGTATCGGAGAATCGTGACATCGAAAAGAAACTAAAAAGAAAGGAAGTATTCGGAGCACCTGTACACTTAAGAATATTTATATAATGCTAACGATGTTACTTGCGATTTGGTATATGACGAATGTCAAACACGAAAGAATATTTTATTCTAGACGTATCTTTCATGCTTTGCCAAGTAAAATAATATAATTCCTGTGTTAAGTGTAATAGTCAATTATGTTTTAATAAAATCTGCCAAGATTCTTGTCAATTTGTTGATTTCCCTGATCAAATATAAATCTCTGGAAGCTGGAAAGAAGAGGAAAGCTGGAAAGAAATTCAAAATATGAAACAACCTAATGAAGAAGATTATGTCAAAATACATATATTTGTATAAAACTCTTCCTTAAATAATACTAATATCCATACATATGCAAACTTTTTAAAATGACGCATTACTTTATACCTTAATCACTCGTGTACAATGTACAATTTAAATAACAGTCTTCTGTATTAAATATTGCTAAAATGTTGAGATTGACAATTGTTTTACATGCATGTCTCAACAGACAGTAAAAACCTTAAATATTCTTATAACTAACTATAGTTTCCATCTTATGAATAGAAGTTGAAAATGATCTTAATTGTACTTCTTGGCTATTAGCAATAAAAACAGGCTGCGTTTCATTCCATTCTTTAGGAATGCCACAGTCAGGTACTGTGTAAGTCAAAATATCGAAAGAGCATATACAATCCAATAATGGAAGGAAACTCACTGTACCTGAAACATAAAAGCATCTATAAAGTTACTGAAGCAACAATGTTTCTACTCGTGTAATTACATTTTAATCAGGAAATTTAAATCCTTAAGTAAGAAAAAATACCTGTAATCTGACGTATTACTTCTCTAATCTCTTTCTGGATAGTCTTCACATCTTTTGTACCCACATCAGGGAGACCGTTGCTTGTACTGTTGTTGGTGCCATTGGAAGTTTGGCCCTCGTAATCGACTCTAAAGTCCCACTTCTCCAGAACCTCTTTGGTATTCACATTCGTTATAACAAGCGTTATTTTTTGTACTTTTCGTTGAATGAGCCATTCCTGAATTTGGCCAAGAACAGTATCCAAAAATCCCTTAATTTTTTCATCCGTTGACATTAAAACAAATAAACCAAAATGCTCAGCAGGCTCGAACGTTTCTGGCGGGTAAATGCCTCTTTGGTACAAAATACTGTTCACTCCATACACTGTAACAAAGAAAAGGCGGTTTAACAGCTAATAAAGTGGATTCCAAACAAGACACCATAAATATATTTAATAAACCTACAAAGATATTGCTTGACCAACTCTGCTGAACCTTTCAAAGTAATACATTTGGCTTTCTGTTGCGTCTCCGTCATAATTCCCAAATGATTATTGCGAATCCAAGACAAATAAACGAAACTTCTGTTCAAACATCCAGCACTTCACAGATCACAAAAAAGCCGGTTTATCATTTTTAAAAACATCCAATACGCTGTCCACTAACCGATGCTTCACCAATCACGAAACAAGGAGGGAAAGGTCGGTAACTTTCAGTAAGTTTATGGAGAAAGTAACACTCAACTGAAATTTACACGTACGTGTTCTGTGAAACACAAGTTTGTACTATGAAAGTAAATTTTGATTGGTTTTAGCACACTTCGCAAACTTAGAGCATCACGCATGTGCATTTGCGATGTTCGTAATGAACATCGTGTCCAGTGATCTTTTATTCTGTATCAATAAAACTGCATTTCTCAAACTTAGAAACTTAAGAATTTAAAAATGTGAAAATTGGATACTTGAATTACGTCGTTGCCTCTTATTATCGTCCACCGTGTATATGACTAACAGTGAAGACCTAGTGAACTTGGCTGCGTTACACGAGTTTGCTATAATTTCCTATTGAGCAAATAATAGGCAGGTTATAAACATTATCTTCAAAAATTTATGTATTAAAATTAAATTGTTAAACGAGTATCTGAGAAGTGATTACGAACAACCGTACACACTCAATTAACAATAATAATTAGAATAATTTAATATTCAATCTAAATAAAGTGTTCCACAACTAACAAATATGTTACTCCGTGCGTGTATCGTATCTAACTGTGGCACAATTCATGGTTGACTGCAGCGCCATTTACAGGAGGCCTATAAGTGCGTAAAGTATCATCTGCCCAATTGCAGTTAATTTTTCAAGCTCTCTGCACGCGTCCACCATGGCCTCCGCCGAGGAATTAAGTGTTTCTGCTCTCGTGTATGACTATTTATTAAAAAAAGACGCATCGTTGGCGAAGGTTTTTCAAAAGAAAACGAAAGCGGTAAGGTTATCAAGATTTTATGTACATACTTTCGGCAATCGATTTTACGGCGCCAATGCCCATGCGGTGGAAGAAATGCCGCCATTCGGCGACACCACGTGGACGATATATTTTCGTTATTTCCTAGTACAAATTTCTCTTACAATTAAACTTAATAGTCAAAGTGTTTCGCCTTTCTGTTTAACGTTATCGGCACATAACTCGTTTTATCAAAATATAGATGGTTTCTTGTAAATTTGTCACGAACTTCGTTTACATTTTTTTATTTTTTCAGCCCACACTTCCAAAAGGTGCGCCAACGATTCAGGAGGTTTACCAATATTTCCAAAAGACGTCCCCAAAGAAATTAAATGTAAAAGCACAAGCTAAAGAGAGCAGTTCAGATTCAAGTTCAGAGAGCGAAGATGAGGCCCCTAAGAAGGTTCCACAGTTAAATGGAAAACCTGCGATTAATGCTGCAGTGAATAATCAACAAGATTCTTCAGATTCTTCGGATGATTCTTCCAGCAAAGATAAAAAAGTAGCGCCAAAACTGACTGCAGAAGTTAAACCTGTTGCAAAAACTCAGTCCAAAAAACCGCCTGTAAAGAAAAAAGAGAGTTCAGACGATAGTTCTTCAGAAGAGGAAGAAACAAAGCCAAAAGTACAACAGAAGCCAGTAGTAGCATCTAAAGCACAAGAGTCATCGGATAGTGACTCTGATTCAGACAGCGAAGAAGTATCTAAAGCAAAAATAACAGCTAAAACGATTGCAAAACCAGCTGCACAGCAAGCAAAAGCTGTGGCAAGTAAGAAACAATCATCTAGTGATGACAGTGAAGAACAAAGTCCAGTTAAACCAGTATTAAAAAAACCACTACCTAGTAAAAATGTAACAGCAACACCAGCAAAGAAGAATGAATCTTCGAGCGATGATTCTGACGATTCCTCGGAAGAAGAATCTCCGAAACCTCAAGCAGTTAAAGCTAAACCAGTCGCAGCATCTACTCCGGTTGTTTCGAGACAGGCATCTTCGAGCGACGACTCCGATGATTCTTCAGAAGAAGCAACCCCGGCAAAACCAGTGGCCGCGAAACAAATTCAAAAACCTGTACAAAACAAAAAGGCACAGAAATCTGCTCAGAACAAGAAAGAAGCAGTGAAACCTGGAAAGCAAGGTAAAGCTGTTCCAGCAAAACCTGTAGTAGTCGCACAGGAAGAATCATCGTCCAGCGATGATAGCAGCGAAGATGAGAAACCAGTGGCTAAAACCCCTATCGTTGCTACGAAAGCAGCAGCCGCAAAGAAAGCTCCTGCTAAGAAAGAAGAATCTTCTAGCGAAGACAGTAGCGACGAAGAAGAGGAGAAACCAGTCAAAAAGGCAGTTCCTTCAACACCTGTCGCAGCAAAGAAGGCTCCCGTAAAAAAAGAAGAATCTTCTAGCGACGACAGCAGCGAAGAGGAACCACCAAGTAAAAAGACCAAAGTAGTAGCCCCAGCAAAATCTGTTGTAACTAAAAAGAAATCTTCTAGCGAGGATTCTGACGATTCCGACGATTCTGATGAAAAACCGGTTGCAAAAGCTACACCTGCAAAGGCGGCGAAAAATGCAGCAGTAGCAAAGAAAGCATCCTCCAGTTCCGACGACTCAGACGACTCCGAAGATGAGAAGCCTGTTGCGAAAGCACCTGCGAGTACTCCTGCAAAGACAAACGTTAAAGCTAAGGCAAATGTCAAAAAGGAATCGAGCGAAGATTCTGATTCAGATTCATCAGAGGATGAGAAACCAGCAGCCACTCCAGTGAAAGTCTCGAAACCAAAAGCAACCGCGAAAGACTCAGATTCGGACGAAAGTGATTCGGATGAGGAAACGGAGACAAAACAGAAAGCACAGCCAAAGACGCCAGGGAAAGCTGAAAAGCGAAAACATAAAGAGGTAGACGAGGAAGAGGTCGATGAGTCAGAAAAACCTGCAAAAGTTCAGAAGAACAACTACAGCAATTTCGTGAAAGCAGGAAACAATTTTAACGGTGACAAGGTATGAAGCTTTGATTAATATAATATAGATATTCAGAAAGAAAGAATGCTTCTTTTTTTATGAAATTTTGTGTTTAGCAACAAAAAAATTCCCCGTTTCGTCGCGTAAAGGACGAGGATTTTGCATTGGATCCAAAATTGGCTAACAATTCATTTGAGGCGAAGGTAAATGCTTGGAAACATTCTAAGCACAGGTCACTCGCCGTTTACTATAAGCTTGAGGCCATGTTTCCGTGCATTCACCGTTCCTTTAAACAAATAATAGACACAAAAATAAAAAAAGAATGTGCACTTGTACCGTGAAGAACGGCGATTGACCTGTGTTTCTATTTTGTTTTAGGAGGACGATCAGAAAGAGGGTGGTTTTAAACATGGAGGAAGGGGTGGATTCGGTGGAGGAAGAGGTTTCGGTCGTGGTGGCGATAGGGGAGGTCGGGGCGGTCGTGGAGGCGACAGGGGCGGTCGTGGAGGTGACAGGGGAGGTCGTGGAGGCGATAGGGGTGGTCGTGGAGGCGACAGAGGAGGTCGTGGCGGTGACAGGGGAGGTCGAGGAGGTTTCAGAGGCCGGGGAGGTTTCGGTGGCAGGGGCGGTTTCGATGGCAGGAAATCGTGGGGTGGAAACGACAGAGGGAACTCCGAAGGGGGTAACAACGAAGGATTTAGGAGGTCATGGGGTAGCAATGACGGCGAAAGAGGGGGTCGCGGTGGTTTCAGAGGCAGTAGGGGTGGTGGCGGTTTCGACAAAAACAAGTCATTCGAAACTTCGCCGCAACAGAATAAAAAGATAACGTTCGACAATTGATAATTAGATAAATTTTAAGGTGAGGTGGGCCGGTTAGATCGAAGTAGTCTAGTAATCCAAGTCAATTTTAAAATGGTAAGTGAAGACGTATCGTTTCTTTCCAACAGAAAGGCGCACGTGGATCTTGGGGAGAAAAAGCAAATTTGGATCTCAAACACACAAGAGGGAAGGCTTTTCGTCACGAAAAGACGAAGAAAAAGCGTGGTAGCTACCGTGGTGGTCAAATAGATACTAGTATCAATTCAATTAAGTTTGATGATTGATTGAATATTTGTATAATATAGATGTTATCGATATATTTAAATTAAGTGGAACATCATACGAAGTTAAGAGTCTTTAAGTTCTGTTTGCGAAGAATGTGACGCAAGTGACGCGCAGTAATTCAGTCTTAAAAAATATTTGACACGTATTTTTTTCTGCTCACAAATATTCAGGCCAAAGTGAAATTAGCTATTTGATGTGATGAATGTCTTTTTAAACGAAAAATTGGGATATTTGTCAAATAAGAAATACGTGTTAAGTATTTTTTGTTCGGTCTTGTCGTGCGCGCGTCAATTTGGTAAAATCGTTAGTATTTCTTCATTTACTTTTTAAGTAATGACATTGATGTAAATGTCACTTGATTATTGGTAAAATTACGTGGAACAATTGCAGGAACTTTAATTGCAGTGCATTGTATTTCAAATTAAGTGATGTTAGTTCCACGTGATTTGTGTCGTGGAGGCGACAGAGGAGGTCGTGGCGGTGACAGGGGAGGTCGAGGAGGTTTCAGAGGCCGGGGAGGTTTCGGTGGCAGGGGCGGTTTCGATGGCAGGAAATCGTGGGGTGGAAACGACAGAGGGAACTCCGAAGGGGGTAACAACGAAGGATTTAGGAGGTCATGGGGTAGCAATGACGGCGAAAGAGGGGGTCGCGGTGGTTTCAGAGGCAGTAGGGGTGGTGGCGGTTTCGACAAAAACAAGTCATTCGAAACTTCGCCGCAACAGAATAAAAAGATAACGTTCGACAATTGATAATTAGATAAATTTTAAGGTGAGGTGGGCCGGTTAGATCGAAGTAGTCTAGTAATCCAAGTCAATTTTAAAATGGTAAGTGAAGACGTATCGTTTCTTTCCAACAGAAAGGCGCACGTGGATCTTGGGGAGAAAAAGCAAATTTGGATCTCAAACACACAAGAGGGAAGGCTTTTCGTCACGAAAAGACGAAGAAAAAGCGTGGTAGCTACCGTGGTGGTCAAATAGATACTAGTATCAATTCAATTAAGTTTGATGATTGATTGAATATTTGTATAATATAGATGTTATCGATATATTTAAATTAAGTGGAACATCATACGAAGTTAAGAGTCTTTAAGTTCTGTTTGCGAAGAATGTGACGCAAGTGACGCGCAGTAATTCAGTCTTAAAAAATATTTGACACGTATTTTTTTCTGCTCACAAATATTCAGGCCAAAGTGAAATTAGCTATTTGATGTGATGAATGTCTTTTTAAACGAAAAATTGGGATATTTGTCAAATAAGAAATACGTGTTAAGTATTTTTTGTTCGGTCTTGTCGTGCGCGCGTCAATTTGGTAAAATCGTTAGTATTTCTTCATTTACTTTTTAAGTAATGACATTGATGTAAATGTCACTTGATTATTGGTAAAATTACGTGGAACAATTGCAGGAACTTTAATTGCAGTGCATTGTATTTCAAATTAAGTGATGTTAGTTCCACGTGATTTGTCTTAGTATCTATAAGACTGCGACTTTTAATTTGCGTTGAGTGTACCAAACGTTTCGTAAAATTCCACGGCTTATTTTAAACGCGTGAAGTATGGCTTAACGAGAACTACTTCGTTACTGACTAGCTACTGTATTATAGATTAATGGATGTCTAATTGCAATATGTAACATATTTCCGTACATTTATCGTTCCTAAAAACGTATAGGAAGTTCAGCAAAACGGTATCGCTATTACATAATTAATCCTCGTGTTCTTTTTTTTATCATTGCAAATCCGTTGAGAGAGGATCTTTGCGAAAATGTAATCAATGTACGGTTTTTAAATCTAAATAAAAGCGTATTGTGGTGGTTTCTTTGTAATTAGTTATAAGGATACTGACAATGAAATATACAATTTACTAAGCTGATAATTTAGATAAAAATCCGACAATTTGTCAATGTCAAAGGGATTTTTGTACACGCATACATTCTGTTGAAGGAGACCAATCGAAACACGAAATCTGTTAAACTTATTCATTGTTAATTTAAAAAAATATCCATATTTTGTACAATACAATCATCATTAAACAAGTATAAGAGAATATAATCCAACTAGTTGCACCATGTTTATTTCCTTCAATTTATTATTTATTGTGGAATCTCTCTGCAAGCATTGTGGTTTAAAAAAGCAGGACTTTGATAAGATAATAAACAAATGTAAAAGAACATCTTTTAACGGAATTCGAATGGAAGAAAGGAAGGTCGTTCCAGTTTACCCTTAATCGTTTCTTCTTCGATCTTTTTCTGCAATAAGTAGAAGAAAAAACGGTTTCGAGGTGGAACAGGGGCCGATATTCTTCAGTCACATCCCCTCTTTCTTCCAGACTACTCTCGCAGAGCACAGAGAACAGCGGTTACTTACGATTCTACAGTCAACCTCTGGACATCCACCTGTGAGGACGGAGGTGTTCGACCCCACGACATCCGGTGTGGTGACATGAACGGTGTTTAAGAAACTCGTGTGCCCTCGTTTTAATTCTGCTCCCTCGTGTCTTTCGATTAATGTAACTGATCAATCGTTTCATCGGACCGAGAAAAGGATTCAAACGCACGGTGTTAAAAGACACACAGTTTCCTCACGGTGAGTGACATTTGACTTATTGGTGCCGTGAGGGTCAAGACATAAATATAAGTGGCACTAATATACTAATAATTAACTACAGGTTGCACGTTTTTAAGTCAAAAATAACAAAATACAAGCATCTTCAAAGATTTAAAATAAAAATAAAGTGCGCACTTATCCGATTATTATAACTAAACAAAAACTGTTTAATACATTTTGATGACATAAAAGTATCTCGAAGTAGCGCTTGTGTTACGTCGATTTGAAGGTAAAAATCTACTGAAAATGACTGTATAAGCGTTTTATCAATATCTTTAAATTAGACGAAATTATGATTGAATATCAAATTCAACATTTTCGCATGTGTACTATAGAATTTACATATATATTTACGTATGTATTTTCTACATGGTTTGAAGGATTATAAATACTGCATCGATCTTCCAATGATCATTCTCCGTCACGAGTCATTTATTTCATCCGTTTCCCGGTCATACGCCTGCATTTACGTTTCAATATAATGGTTTCCGTCAGAAATACTTGATAGAGGTTCTTCCGTATTTGGAAGAAATAAGCTAATAAACAGAGTGATTCCCAAGTTATTGCTCAAGATGAGGTACAAGGTTTTATCCGTAAGGCTTTTTTATTTGACCACAAAATTACGTTCCGATGTTTCTTCTTTCTCTATTTTTTCGAACGATATAATTCTCGGTTCGGTAACGCTGCTACTTCCTGATTGTTAAGTATGTTGAACGCTCCATAGACGTTTGTCTAAACAAAAATTAAATTTTCATCGTATGTTTAAATTCAAAAATATCACGACTTCGGTATTTTTTAGAATTCATGAAAAGAAATGTATTAGATCAATGAGAGAGTGAAGAGAAATATTGCAAAAACACATTCTGTCTAACAATTTCTAAATAACTCCCGATTGTTAGTGCCAATGACCAGTCGCTCGGGTTACCTGTTGCACGAATTAAGTATAAAGTTACTCGACAAGTTAAGCGCTTGACAGTTTGTGAGCGATAATGACGATGAAATCTTCGCGATGTAGACGCGAATAACATGGAAAAAGGAATTTCGAGCGCGTAACTGCTCGACAGTTATAATAATTTATTCATGAAACGAAACACCGAAATGGTTGTACCGTTAACGGAGACCTAAGGATGAGTAAACGTATACTCGATAAAGAAGCGAACCGAGAGGAACGAACGTTTTGGACGATTCATCTTTACCGTTAGAATCGACCGCATGACGCGAGCTCATGGTCCACGAGGAATCGGTTCCCGGCTGCCGGAAGCACAGTTTTTCCTTATCCATACAATCTCTGCTCGACTCGATCTTTATCGATCATCTTTCTATATCCCGTTCCACGCGTCTTGAACAGGTATTCGAGCAAGTAATAGGTAATTGGTCTCAATCGTGACTTGTAACACTGAAACAAATTTATACTAATTAATGGGGGAACTCTTAGAAATCAACATTATAAAAAATTCTAAGAGTTACATTTTTGTAAAATTGTCTCTGAAAATTCAGAAACTTTGGAACCCCAAAACTTTTCAGATAAAAGTCCTATGCAGATACCTACATTGCCCTTGAGATTTCGCAATACTTATTTCTGAGATACTATTCAGAGATGAGATAGCTATTCTAATTGTTCTTTCTAGTTGAGTTAGCATAGTAAAACACCCTCTGGGAAAGAACTCCTAACGACGTGAGAAGTTGCTCGAATAATTGTTTCTCCTTGAACCTGAATTACCGTGAACGCGCGAACTTGTGGAAGACCTCGATCTCTCGTCCAAGTTCAAGCGATTCTCACGTGCGATTCACGTCTCTTATCTCCTTTTTTTTCGCAGGATCTCCGTTATATAATCCACGCGGTCACCGTATCCTGTATCGAACATCCTGATTGTGCAATTACGAAACAATGATTCGAGATATGGTGGGCGTATCCACTAAACTCATTTTGATCGGATAAAATATATGTTGAGATAATAGAGTTCGACTTTATCTCCTAAATAATGGTATTAGTTAGTATTTCGAATCGAATATAATAGTATTACGATCGTTTCAAAATACACGAGTTTCTATTTATTATCGAGGATACCTGATTCAATTAGGTAAAAAAATGATTAACGTTGAAAATAGTCCATGGCTTCCTGAAGAAACAGACGGTCACGGCCAATGACCAGCCTTGAGTGCCAACCATTAATGATTTTCTTCCTTTCCTTTTCCCACGCGTAATTCATCACTTGGCCAGACATCAAATCGCAATCTTCCGCCATGTTGCTTTTCCCTCCAGTCTTCCAAACATCCGGTGATATCAAATAAACATTACGAACAGGATCTACCGTTGAAAAATCCATCAGTTGCAAAGATTTCATTCGAAATCGAGCAACAAGCCGTATTAGTCGCATGCCATATCGTGTTGCTTTCACTCGTCTTCGACGTGTAAGTACGTATAGCGGAAGTCGTATAGACCCAGCAACCTAGAAACCCCGAAACTCTGCATGAATTCATATATCGATTACACCCGGTTAATTGTTATTCCTAATTGCCCGTGGCCACCATTTTACCTCATTGTCTTCATCGTTGGAGAAGTTTGAAAGCGAAAAAGCTGGATTACTACCAGTATGCGAAACGGAAACTTTCGTGAGAGGACATAATTACGTAGTCCCGATATATGGCCTTGTAGAAATGAATACAAATGTCATAAATCCTTCTCTAGCAACTTCTCAAATCCCTAAATCATCGAGTCCTCAAATACTTAAATTTTTAAATCTCCATTCGGAGTTTGGACACATGTGCCATTTCAGAAGTGGAGGAAAGTGTACGGACAAAACGGTTCACCGGTACGTGCGACGATTTGCCGGATTTTTTCGCGACGAGTCACACTCTCGTCCGCTGCCAGTGTCATTTACTTTTGCTCTTGACCTCCTACGAACTCCAGGTTCCACGACCGAGTTCTCTAACAGTGACAACGTGTCCCCGGACCTCTAATAGTTCAGCGCTTTGATTGTTTTATTCATGAACCGTTGACCAGTCTAATTAGTAGCAATAGGATGCAAGTATATTGCAAACAGGTTTGGATTATCCAGATTCGAATCTGGAAAGTGGTACTCTAACCCTGAAAAATACATTGCCATTTTGAATAGAACTCTATACATTCCAGCCTAGAGATTAGATATTTTCTGATCGCGATAAAGCGGCATAGAAAACATTTTCAAGTCTATGCAACTCTGAGCTAACGATTTAATCGGCTTAATCTTTATTGACCTGAGGTGCACTTTTATGTGTGAGCGACTTTAACAACCTCTCACTGGTACGTGTTTTAATACACAATTGGAACTGAAAATGTGAAGCAGAACTCTTCTCAGGTTGTCATCTAAAACAGGGATTATAAAAGATGAGCGGTGGAACGCTTTTACCTCATCTTTTAATTAACTCATTAACGTACTTATGAATAATAACAATCTTACGAGATGAAACTAGTATCGCATTTTGTGCGTACGTGTTCTTGATACGTAAAACAAATCAATTTCCACGCTTTCCTTCCTCAATACGTGTATATAGGTCCATAATCATTAATGCCGTAATTAAAGTAATTACCGTGTCTCGTTTGAATACTGGTTTTCGAATCAATAAACGACCGATCGTTAGCCTATAAATTGAACATAATATCATAAGGCAAAGGTGTTCAGACATTAATTAATTTGACGTTATCGCATTACAACGGATGTGATTTCAGATGTCCAGGTACCTCGGTCTGATTCTCCTTATCAGCACGTGCGGCCACGTGTACGGCAGCAAAAGATGCGAAGGTAGTGGTTTAGGCTTGAAATACGTCTGGGGAGATGCTCTTACGGATCCAGCGGACTGTATAGGACCAAATAATATGCAGTACCCGTCGTAAGTGTTCCTGGTGGAATTTGAAAAATTCCACGGTCGCTCGCGATACCGTTATCAAAACGAACAACTGTCGTAGAGCTGCTATCTCGAGGAGTTACAAGAATCTGTGGGCGAGCAGTCGGACCGCAAGAGCTCATCAGCCACGGACAATCGATCCTGAACTGACGAGGCAGGCGCTTCTGCATAATTACAAGGTCGCTCACGGGGATTACTCGATCGCTGAATCCACACGCAATGGTGAGTCTTTTGTCTTATTTCGATTACTTCCAATTTTGTCCCATGAGAGGTGTTGATCTACAAAAGAAATCACGGTTAAATTTTTGTTAAGAAAATTTGGAAACTTAGACAAATTCTGGGAAGTTGTGGAAATATAAAAATTAAGGATATTACTTGTCGGGTATCCGCTATTTGTACATCCGTTTATCGCCCCCTCGAGCGTACGATTGCTATAGATAGAAGCAGGAAGAAATCTCAAATGGGAACGAGACGGTAGATCGGTTGGAAACACGCGGAAGACGAACTTGTCCCTGTTGATCGGGACGCAACAGTAGTCGAGCCGGTTACCTGAATCGCGAGTAATTACGCGCGGCTATAACCTACATTACATCCATGCCGTCGAAGCCACGTAATTTATTTATCCTGCGTTCGTTGCCTTATCCAAATATGATCCTATATAATAGATGATCTGCATAGTGGTTACAGGCGAGCCGAGTATGAATTTATAATTGTGGCTGTTGCTCCTGCAGGATGTTATCAAACAGGATTATTGTAGCATGCTTAATAATGCGCAACCATTTTGCTCCATAAACAGACCGGAAGTTCATTCTGAAACGTGCATCTTTATTAAACATCTCCTGCTGTTATTTCCAAGATTTTGCCGAAGATGCCGGACCAATGTTTCTAAAAATCGGGACAGACCGGTTGTACGACGCTCCATTGCAGCCTTGAATAATGCAGTTGTCCTTATGACACGAAAACCTGGTTCCAACTGACCAGCAACACCCGCCATCGCGCTTCTACGAGAATACCTTTGAAATTCCTTTGAAAAATGCATTAGCCTGTGCTCGAGAGAGGCATCGTTCACCTACATCGACACAACGTCCTTTAAATAATGGCTGGCTGGTGCAGCAGGACGGTAATAAGGCACCGTGTTATCCGGCCAATACAGTTATCGCTCGTTCTGCTCATAACGGGACACCGGCGACCCACTCGACGTTTCGAACACACCAGACGATGGAATTCCAAAGAAAGGGCGTCGATCCAAAGATTAAATTAGCCGATTCTTTGTGAACCTTAAATACTCCTTTTGGAATTATTTTTTGTTTAAAAATAACTCCAAAAATCTTTCATTTTTTTCTGAGAGATTTTCTGGGTCAAGGCAATCAAGTAGAACTAGCATTGTTAGTTGAACATTTGGCCCTTTTCTTAAAAAGTCCATTCAAAAATTGGGTACACCGTAATTAGGGTCGCCACGCGCCAAACTGCCACGCGTCACCATCGTTGTATTATCATAAGTTACCATCATCACGCGTTGTACAATATCACGCGGTACTATCGCCACGCGGTGTGCTACCACACGATACCATCGCCAGGAGCTGTATTACCATGCATTATATTAGCACGCGTTATATTGCCACGCGATGAATTGACGGACGTTCTATCATCACGCGTTTAATTGACATAGTTTCGTGTTAAATACAACGTAGTGAATTACATTTGCATAATTGCGACCCATAATTACACGTAAATTCTGCTTATAACCTTGTTCATTTAGACAGTGAGTAACGATAGTATAATTACGATATATTGTAGTAACAGTACATTCTGGGCTGAATCCCTTTAACATTGAACAATGTTTCTGTTTTCAGGACGCGCATTTACCCCGAAAGAAAGCTGTGGTTCGCCAGCCAGGTTATGTAAAACCAGGTACAACACCACGGCACCGATGTACGGGGTCAGCTTAACCAGTGGCCAGCCGGTGACGATCGTGCAAAAGTTCCCTGATCTTCTGCAGCAGGTTGTCTTCGAAGTCTGCGAGTAAGTCTTTATTAAGATGTAGCTCTTATTATCGGAACACGGTTCGATCGTTATCCACTGTTACTTTCTTAGCACGTTCGCAATTTGTAAATACGTGATACAAATTGAAATTCATCGAGTTGTCGAGTTGATTCGAATGTAGCACAGTAGGCTGTAGCAAGCTCGTGTAGTCGTGACCCAATGAAGCCTACTTTTCGAGCGTTTTTGGACCGGTATTGCCTTTATTGAAACGTCATGTGCCACAGAAGTTACAATTCTCTAAACTTTGTATGCCTTTTCGAGTGCCGAGTTAACATTCTGGGTTAAAATATTTTGTTACGTAGAATAATCTCCATACATCGTTCATGTGTCTGCCTGTAAAAAAATTTATTATATAAAATATTTTTATCAACAGATCTAGACTGATAGAGTAGATAGAAAAAATGAGGAAATTGTTTCAGATCAAAAGAGTGCGACGTGGTCCATGGCGAGTGCACTCAAACCTACGTACCGTACCTGTTTCTGGTGATTCCTCTCGGACCAGTGACCTTGACCGGTCAAGATTACGTTCTGGTGGAGAGCGGTTGCGTCTGCAAGCCGAGAAATTCGGCGAGCTCCACGTCGGAGCCCCCATCCGTTCCAAGCTTCTAAAGGGTTCTTTGAACCCGGGTGATCGGCATCGAGCACACCGCTAACCGGAGGATTGAGCTCGAGAGCCGTGTCGAACGCGACGGAATCGGTAGAAATTGACCCCAAGCTCGAACAACCTCGCTGAGGGACCTAGTAACCTCTTTGAGACGGAGCTAGCGAAGAATGCTGAGGAGCAGCTAGGAAAAATGATTTCTCGGTTGAAATCTAGAAAATGGACGATATTATTCTGTACCTCTGCTCCATAACAGGGTACTCTTCATTACCATGACTTCCTCGAATCAACCTGAGGAACTCTTCTGGCGAGCTGAAGAATCTTCTTCGACTTCTCGAATTCTTCACGAAGTTTCAAATAACTTCGACGAATAGGCAAAATAAACGTCGAGACGATGAAGAAGAGACATCTCTTCGACAACGAAGAGGAAATCCAGAAGATAACGTGTCCTCGTTAGGTCGATAGAGTTGTTTCATTGTAGGATTCTGATCCGCAAACTGTCTCAGTGTACTGAAAGAAGTCTCGTCAGCACGCGTTCAAAAGAAGTTATTTCAGCGTGTAAAAAAATAAATCGGAGCAGCGTCGGTCGTTTCGCGGAATCCGGTCTCGGAATCCGATCGAGTTCACTAGACCTGGCCGCGAGAGCCGGTTTCGAGCAGGTGTACAGAGCGGCTCGTAACAGAGTGTTTCACGAGAAGCATCGGCCAGTTTATTCTTTCGAAAGGCATCGTAAAGTTATATCATTTGCCTGGGACGGCTCGTAACCAGCCGGAAACGTTCTTAATGGCGTTCTCCGGTTCTTCGTCGAGCGGTCGACGACGTTACACGATCGTTCCTCGCTCTCTTTCGTTTGTCACACCGTAATTCCTTCACAAGTCTTTCCTTGTATTTACGCCAATGCTGGTAACTAATTAGTCGGGACGGTGCAGATTTCTGATTCTCTTTTTTGATACATTACCGCGTTACATGAAGTGAGAAGTTTGAACCTCAAGTGTTGACGACTCCATTTTATAAAATAGTCCATTGTATTTATAATCCTTGATTACTGTCATAAATCTTTTATCAGATGTTAAATACCAAGTGTTACATCGTCACGCGATTTCCGGTGACACATTTCCGTCTAACGTCAGATTTCAGCAAATAGATCTCTAAAACTGTTAAACTTAAATTTTAGTAAACGCTTATCCTCAGTCGATAAATTGAATGTTCAGCGCAATTTAATTCGAATAAAAAACGGTTCAATAGTTTTTCGAATGAATGGTAGATTGCCAGGAATCACGAAGAATACCAGGAAAGAATGGCCCGTTCTTATTCCATCGAAGTCGGTTAAATCGCTCGTGAGACACGCCACTGGCCCGCTTATGCTTCTCAGAACCGGACTCTGTTGCGACGCTGCTCGCGTCGGAATTGTACCGACAAACAGGATGGACGTGCAGTCGCAGTACGAATGGACCGTACCATGAATTCCGATGAGTATAATGTACCGTTAGTCTTACTTTGCGGGACCCTTCACCTCGATATACTTTGCTTGGTTATTTCATAGACAAGACCCATGCGGCGCCCAAAAGTCACCGGGTTCGATCATGTGCGCCACTTATCGACCATTGTTCGTGATGTATCTATCGCTTTCTCCTTCGACAACTATTAACATTATTCGATATCAGTCTTATTTTATAATGCAATCTTTAAGGAACTAGTAAACTAAAAATTCTTCTGAATTTACTTTTGTATCTTAACCTATAAAATTGTAAGATTCTGACCTCTTACCTTGCGACTAAAAAAATTTAATACTTTTTGATTGCAGACGTGTGTATGAAACATTATAAAATTGTTGGAGTCCCCTGTTTTGTACTTTTGATTTATGAGGAGAGACTGCAGGTTCCTACTTTTTTGGTACCGTCAGTCGGTAAATGATCACTTCGTACTGGGCATGAATATGCGAAATAAAATAATTTCATTAATAATTGAATACCTGATAATAAATTAATAAATGACAGCTGTATACCTGCTATCTTCAAATTATAATACTCCATCCACAAATGCAATGAATCTGTAATGTTAAAAATTTGTATAATTACCATAATTACCAATTATGTGAAATAATTTTAATGGACAGTTTGCGGATCGATAGTTTAAAAACATGAATAGAAATACAGAAATTCGTATGACAATGTTCTGTGCCAGTGCCGTACGAGGAGAGTGATATAAACAGAGAATGCCGGAATGTAATTCGTGCAATGAACGACTTTTTTCACACCGCATCTATCATCTTTTGTATCTATAGTTGTAATATTCAAGCATGTATTTATAATTTATTATTAGATTACGATGTATTATGTGAATGAATGTTTCTTTAAACAAAGTACGAGTATATTCATTTCCCGCACCGGTCTTACCATCCCCTTACGATCACCGGAACTTACACTTATGTCGTGTTTTAGCGCGAGATTTAAAAATATGGTAAACGTGGTTTGATATGTTGTGGACATATAACACGCGTTATATCGTTATCGTTGTGCCGTTATATGTTACATTTACCATTCATTTTATTATGAACTTGCAGCGATTTTAGATTATGGAAAGGATATTGCAATACTTCCCGTAAAACGGAATTGCAAGTATGTTGGTAACATTGAATGGAAGCGACCGCACTGCTGTTATTCAGCAACTTCAGTTTTCCGTTTTAATGGTATCACCGCCATGTTGGCGGATTGATCTATCGTGCGTCCGTGTTCGTATACGCTTCATTGTAACGTTCGATATTTGTACATACAAAACTACGCATCTTTTTTTGTGGATAAGTGAAAGACGCGATCGCTTAAAACGTATTCTATCGGCTCGTTAGTTTTCGTTCAGCAGTGGATAGCAAGTTTGGAACGTCGCCAGCTATAGGAACATTGAACATCGTGCAGCTTTCAGTTTCTACACGTTGCCAAAATGATGTACACGGTAAATTAGCCAAATTTGTTATTAGCTGAAGCAGTAGTAACACCTTATAGCGTTCTAAAGTTATTGTATCACTATTTCCAAATTGTTTGAAATTTTTGTGTATTTTTGGACTTCAGGGGACTACCGCGTCGCAGGATACAAGGTTCAGCGACAAGGAAAAAAAACTTATGAAACAAATGAAGTTTGGAGATTCTCTGACTCAGAAAGTAAATATTTACTTAGAATGCGAACTATTTGTTTATATTGTATTGTGTATTGATTACTTGAATTTAATTTATGTTTGGAAATGCTTTCAATTTTGGTACTAATTTTAAATTGTGTTTAGGTGGATATGAGTAAAGTCAAACTTGACGTTATCAAGCCATGGATCACTACAAAAATCACTCAAATTTTAGGAATGGAGGACGATGTAGTGATAGAATTTGTATATAATCAACTGGAGGAAAAGGTAAGAAGTTTGTTGCATTACTAGTTTGATTAGAATTAGGTCTAAGAGATTGATTAACGAACATGAAATAAAAAAAATATGTTCACTTGGCTTTTTCCCCTCATCATAGGAAATCGATAAATACACATTATTTCAGCACAATGTTTTGTACCAGTTACAAATGATATCATCCAAAATCTGCACAATGTGCTGACTTTGGAGATGTAAAGCAAGGAGGCAGAAACCATATTAGTCATATTTGCCTCATTGTTCTTTTATTTATTTTTTTTTCTTGAATTTTGATAAAATATCATCGTTCCTATATGTCCTGTGTAACCTGTTCTTATTGTTCCTTCCAAGCTATATCCTATTTCAACAAAAGAAAAAACTGATGTAGCTGATCCTGCAATACTGTAACATGTGCAAACAATCTTTTTATCACGTATGTTTGAATTCCCCGTTAGTATAAGTAGAGACCGTTGGTGGGGCTCAACCCTATTGTCCAAATGGCATTCGGATGTGCTCCTCTCTACATCCGATTGGCCGCCTTTCTATCAGCCGTCAACGCTAGCTGATGCCAGCTGGTATGTCAACGTCATCTTAGAACCACTGCTGAAACTTCAGCCTCAGCAGTTCATCCACCATCGGCAGAAACGGCGTGTTCGCAGTAATCTCTTCGCATCGACATGCTGTTCCTACTCTTCTCAACTGTATATGGAGCTCTGCCCACGGCCTTCTACCATTCTGCAGATGTCTGCATTGCTGTATCTACATCTCCTACCAGCTGCGTCTATCACCGGCTTCGTCTACCGGTGACTGCCTCTGTGGCGGTAGTTGTGCACCAAGATCACAACTTCGAGAGCTGCACTGCAGCTATCAAACCATCCACCGTCATCTGGCAATCAACGGTTCGAGTTCAAACATGGAGGAGGAATCGCCATGCTGTCTACTCAGGCACCGCTCATCCCGTATGGACATCGATGCAGCTGTTACAACTCAGATGCTGATTGCTACATTCTTCGTACTTCCAACAACGTCCAAAGGAATCGAGGATCTTTATACGTCGCGCAGGTCTGTTCTCCAGTTAATGATTCTACGGAAATGCAGTCAATCGGATGCGATTGGCTGATGGTCGATGCCAGAGGTATCTCTGCTCGGTTTGAGACACTCTTTGTCAACGTCACAGGTTGGTGGAACGGTGTTCCTTCTATTCCAAATTAATCCTTTTGTTTTCAGCTAACTCTTTCAACGTATATTTCTAAGTTCTATTTCAGCGTCCACTTTAGCAGCATTTGTTTGATTGACAAGGTATCAATATAATATCTGTGCTACTTGTGCGTTTATCGATGAGTATATTTTTTTTCTTAGCGTATGATTAGTGCAGACGTGAAATAAGCCGTTTACAGTATTGGTAAGATACGTCAGAAATGCAACGAATGTATCTGCTTTTTCGAGGGGGAAAAGCAGTTAGCATCAATAGCGAGATCGATATTGTTTATGATTTCACTATTTCAGTTCAAAATTTTTGTAAAAATTGAATGCCTGTTGTTTATTATCGATAACAACTTTCGATCACCTGAATAGAAATATAAATTCGTATACTGTATGTTTTACAGTTTCCTGACCCCCGAAAAATGCAGATCAACCTAACAGGCTTCCTGAATGGTAGGAATGCCCGGTCTTTCATGGGTGAATTATGGGACCTTCTGGTCTCTGCTCAAGAAAGTGTAACGGGCATTCCCGAGGCTTTCTTGCAACAAAAAAAAGATCAGATTAAAAAGCGTTTGGTAATTATCCACTTTTTATACCCTTAGTCTTTAGTATTCAATAGTAGCAACGGATGAACTGAATGTACAATTCATCTAACAAGATGTCACAGCTGTGGGATCATCAATTTTAATCAAACCCAATTTTAATCAAATAGCTGTAATATTATTAAAAAATTAGGTACAATCTACACCTAGAAGAAAATAACATTTAAGCAGTTCAGAAATTCCCCAGAAAAAACGAAGAAGTTGGCAGTTGTGGCCTCTTCTAAGCAATACATTTGATTGCATGAACTGATCTGATAATAGTCAAACAATTGAATAACTAAATTTTGACGTTCAGCAAAATGTTCAGTTAATTGCTTTTGATTGCACGAGGTTCAGTTTAGATTTTTAGTATTTATTAGCAAATAAGTAAACTAACATCAAAGTGTCCTAATTCACGATACATCAACATAGGAGGAGCAAGAGAAGCTCCAAGCTTCTTTGGCAGAGAAAGAGAAGGAGAAGGAAAGGGAGAAAGAGAAAGATGAAGCAGAAAGCAAGATAAAGAAAGAAGAAAAGGAACGTGGTTCGTCGAAGGAGCGTAGAAGAGATCGAAGTAGAGATCGTGATAGAGACAGGTACCTGTTCTCATTGAAACAGAACTTCATATTTTTATTTAATTCTGAAGTGTTACAAATAGTTATGTGGTTATTGCAGAAGTAAGAGAAGTCGATCGAGAGATCGGCATCGAGACCGTGATAGATCAAGTCGTAAGCGACGATCGTCTTCAAGATCACCCAGCAAAAATTCTTTGAAGGACAACGGAAAAGACATGCCGGAAGTTAAAGTTGAACGGGAAGATTCACCGCAACCTGAAAATGCTATACCGTTGATGCCTGTCAAAACAAAACCGTAAATGTCTAAATCTTTTTAATGACTTAACAAATACACTGTTGTTTGTGCATGTATTATGAAAAAAACCTCCGTCACAATTCCTCTTGCATATATACATTTTAAAGAAAATTTATTGTGGTGTTTTAACAGGGAAGCCGCTGTTGCGATATCCCGATTGCAAGCAAAACTAATGAGCATTGCCGATGGGAAGAAGAAGAACAATCATACTCCATCTCCAGAGTCACTGGACAAGGCAAAGAAATCCAGATCCAGATCAAAGTCACCTATAAGTCGATCCAAAAAGTCCCGATCCAAATCACCAAGCCGAGATTCGAAGACACGTCGTTCTCGATCACCCGCATCCAAATCCAGACGATCTCGTTCAAAGTCAAGATCAAGACGTTCCAGATCCAGGTCCAAGTCTAGAAGATCTAAATCCAGGTCACAGGATCGTTCGAAGTCCAGACGTACGAAGTCAAAGTCACCAAGATCGCATTCAAGATCTCGTTCACGATCAAAGAAATCAAGATCCAAAAGTATCGACAGAAGCAAAGCCCGCAAGTCTAGATCTGATTCGAGCGATTCCAGGTCGTCAAAGTCCCGTTCCAAGTCCCCCGACAAAAGGAAGGATAACCTGGATTCAGGTCGAAAACGGGACGCAAGTACAAGTAGCACTTCCGAATCAGAGGAAGATAAAGGAGCGAAAGACAAGAACGATTTCGAGATTAGGAAGAAGAAGGATGGAGTGCAGGCTAAAAGGTCGTACAGGAAGACTAATAAGGATGACAGCGGAAGTGACAGTGATTCAAGTCGAGAAAGGAAATCGGTCCCTAAACGTAGAAGCCCTACGCCACGTAAAGATAGAGGCAGATCGAAGGATAGGGACAGGTCCAGAGACAGATCACGGGATAGGTCGCGAGATAGGTCACGGGATCGATCTCGAGATAGGAACAGGAGGTGTGTATAAAAATTCTGAGTTTCGAATTATGATATATTTAACCTGTATTTTCTTTTGGTTCAGGAGATCCATAGATAGAGAACGAGAAAGAAGACGAGAACGAGAGCGAGAAAGGGAACGGGAAAGACTGGATAGATATAGTGGCAGTCGCAGCATGCGACCACCATCTGTTCGCAGAGCACCCAGCAGGCGAAGGTATGATTGGACAAGTTTGCTATATTTATACAGTGATGGCCAATTAATAAAGACAGGTGTATAGAATTACTGATAATACGCAATTGTTACAGAAGTCCCCCTCGTAGAAGTCCAGCAAGATATCGGCGCAGATCTCCTAGTCCCGGCGACAGGCGCAGAAGAAGATCCCTCGACCGAAGACGACGATCATCAGAGAGACGAGACAGACGTCGATCTCCGGATCGTCGCGACAGCAGACGCCGTTCGCCAGATGGACGGGATCGATCCCTCAGGTACGATAGATCTTCCTCTCGCGACAGATCGAGTAGGCGAGACCGTTCCAGAGACAGGGACAGAAGGGATAGAGATCGGCGATCTAGATCTAAGGATCGTAGATCCCGATCGAAAGATCAGCGGTCATCGGTGGATCGTTCAAGGGATGGGAAACGATCTCCCGATCGGTCGAGAGATGCTAAGGAGAAGATAAAGGACAAGAAGGTGGATGAGAAAGTTAAAAGAACAACCGAGACAGGATCGCGAAAAGAATTGCGAAATGGAAGGTCTAAGTCAAGTAGCTCGGAAAGTAGCGAAAGTAGTTCCTCTAGCAATGAGGATGAAGCGATCAGGTGAGTAAAAGAATATCATTTCATATTTTTTCGTGTTGTTACAGACCTTACGATTGTTGGAGCGTAAAGCCAGCTATGTTTCATTTTCTGCTTAGCTTCCGACGTTAATCGTTTACAGTTTCCAATAATGTTTCTCATTATTTGTGTAGAAAATCGCTTGAACGCAAATCGTCTCAGGAAAAACGAGAACGCGAAAGAGAACGGGAACACGTGGACGACAAACGTAAAGAAAAAGAAAAACCTAAGGAAGAGCCCGTCATTAAGCGACCCGAGAAGGAAGTGAAGAAGGTTGAACCACCGACTATCAAGAAACCGGATCCAAGCGTTTCTCCTAAAAAGCTTCAACCTACTACGCTTCCTGTAACTAGGCATAGAGTAAGTTTGATCACATACTATTTTTGTATGCCTTGAATTTTAAAGAATATGTTCCATTTTAAATGTTTCTACTTTATTCCTTTCAGTTCTCCAAGAGTCTGTCCAGAACGCCTTCACCGTTTAAAAAGACTGAAGACATCATAGCTGCAGTTAAAGTTAAACAACCTTCAAAGTAAGTTTGGATATATTTTGAAGTATTGCCAACAGTATGTTTTATTGGAATAATTTCAGGGAAGATAATAAGGAAGATTCACCGAAAGAAGAATCCAACTTCTCATCCGGAGATAACTTCCCGTTGAAAAAGGATGACAAATCAATTAAATCAATCAAGACAACGTCAGAAGAGAAGAAGTCTGGCCAAAAGTCGTCAGAGCCGATTATTTTGAAGAAACAGGTGGAAATCATTAAGAAATCGAAAAGAGAAAAACGTGATGGATCTACAGATTCAAATGACAGTGAAAGCGAAGGTAAGAATTTATTTGAAGATAAATTAGTGTATGAATGGTATTGATGTTGGTTTTGTATGTTAGGAAAAAAGAAATCTAGAAAATTGGAGAAGTCCAGGAAGTCTCGAAAGGCTTCTACAGACGAAGAGAAATCGGATAAAGGTGCCTCCAGTTCGGATTCTGAAGACGACAGGAAACACGTGGAGAAAAGTAAAAAGATCAGAGACTCGAATCGTGGAGGTGAAGTTCAATTCTTCAGATTTAATAACACTTCAGTTAATTACAATTTTTTAAACGTGATGAATTTTTATAGATTCGTTAGACGAGCGTTCCAAGGACAGGAAGGATAGCAGGAAGCGAGAAGCCAGTGAGAACGAATCTCGTAAACGGCCGAAGAAGGATCTAGAAGAAGAAACGAAGAAATCAAAGAGGTCTAGGAAAGATTCTTCTTCGGGAGATGAAGATCAAAAGACGAAGAGAAGCAAAGAGGACGACAGATCTAGAATAAGAAAATCTAAAAAAGATTCAAGTTCAGACGATGAACCGAAGAAGACAAGGAAACGAAAAGACAGTTCTTCGGAAGATGAGAAATCTAGAACGAGGAAATCCAGGAAAGATTCGACTAGCGAAGATGAAGCAAAAGTACGAGTGAAGAAATCGAAACGAGACTCCAGCACGGAAGATGAAGAAATAGGAGAAAAAGATGCGAAGAAAAAGAGAAAAGCAGACGATAGTTCAGATGAAGAAAAAGTGAAGAAGAAACGTAAAAAGAAGACTAAAACCAGTACCAGTGAATCTGAGGTAAATTTTTCTTCAATCGGTTCATGCAGGTTTCAAATTCATAGTATCAATTTATTAATCGTAATTTACGTTTCTTTAGGAAAGCGAAGTAGAAGAGAAGAAAAAGAAGAAAGACAAGAAGCACAAGAAACACAAAAAACACAAGAAGCATAGGAAGCACAAAAAGAAGAAGGTTGCTGATTCTGACGAATCTGATGTGAGTGAAGGTAACACTGAAGAACTGGAGAAAAAGCTTCGTGAAAAAGCATTGAAATCAATGAAAAAAGGACACAGTATAGAAAGAAGTGATTGAGAATTTGTGTGATCTATTAATGAGGGTGTGTAATATGTGTGTACTTCTGTATTACAATGCACTTGCTTTGATTGTATTCACGAATATGTTTGTTTATTGCATTGACAGTAGAATTTTATCGTATCACAGTTTCTTATACAAGAGAAGTCTGCTAGTAACAGAATTCGTCCTCAGGCGATAAAACTTTCATTTTTACGAATCTTGAACCGAGTTTAGGATTACGATGTTGAACGCAATAGTTGTTTCCTTTACTTAGCAAACAAGTAGTGTACGTTATACCATAGGGACAGTAATTTCTTGTGCCACTTTCAATGTACGATTTTTACATTTTTCAAAAGTGTCGGCACAACCAAGCGAAGATATATCCCCTTTTAGTTAAGTTCATGAATTAATCTTTACTTGATAGTGCGGTAAGTTAGTTTAGTTTGTAAATCTTATTTGTATAAAAATAATTTTTCATCGATTTACCTACATTAAGACGACAGAATAAATTGCGTTTTGACGAGTAACATCGCATGCCTCGTACAAACTTGTCACACCCTCTTGTTACGGAATTCATACACATAAATTATATAATTAAATTTAATCTAAAATCACTGTAAATTTATTTAGACTTCTGAATTTGTACGTGATGCAAGTTTCACGTATATTGTGGTATTTAAAATACATGATTTTCCAAAAAAAGAGCAGTTTGTATTTTACATAAAATAAATCATCACACTCCATTAGTTTAACAAAATCTATACATATAAATATATTTACAATTTGGCTAGCATAGATTCCCAGTCCGGTGAACAGATTAGCGTGCTACTGACTGGTCCAAGGTTAATTAACTCGCCATTTAATTTTTCGGTATCTACTTTCGCCGCAATGAGATCCTGCAATATAAATTATACTTAATAACATCCGATATTTCTACTTATTCTATATTTTCCATATTTTACGTTACGAACTTGTCGAAAACTAAGATTCGATCCAAGATCCACGATTAAGTTATTTTCACCTAACAGTAAGCGTGCTTTGCCAGATTTTAAAATTTGAAGTTTGCCTAGAATACCAGGATTTAAACTATTTAAAGTACAAAATTCTGTTTGGGATTTATTTTCATTTTCTTTTTCGGAACTCGTGGTATTTGAACGATTTGGTCTAACGTTATCATCTGCGCTACCCACTAAACCTGGTAAGCAATCTGGAAACTAAAATTTATTACATTAACCTACTACACAAATGAGTACAATTTTTCAGATCCTACCTGTATTAAAATATAAGAATTTGTTTTGTTTTCAATGATTTGAGGAATGCTTTCTGAAAATTCTTCTTTTGTTTCTGTGCTAGATTTTGGAATCTTTATTTTAGATTCTTTTTTTGGTGATAATACTAAAAATAATTCTTGATTATCATCACATTCTACTGAACAAAAAAAGAATATATAAGCATACCTTCTCCATTTTCCAAAATTATTGGCTTTGTATCTACTTCTTCTTCTTTTTTTGGAACTTTAACCTTAGTTTCTTCTTTACACACTTTCGCTGTAATGGATAAACATGAAAAAATATAATCATAATTTATACAAATCAACTCTTTATTTAACAAAAAATAAGTTACCTTCTTTAAACATTGGCAATACAACAGGAGCATTTTCAAGATTTATGGGTTCATCATCATCTATAAAATCATCTCTCAATAATAATTTAACCTTTTCTTCTTCATCAGCTTTGTCAATCTTGCGATTCAGATCTAATTTTGGTTTCTCTAAACTTGACTGTGGAGTTCTATCACTATCCCTTGACCCACCACCACCACTATGGCGTTTCAATGTTTCACTTGTTATTCCGGTAGACCAGATACCACTAGACTGAATCAAACTATGTATAAACTGCAAACTAATGGTTTTCTTAAAATTAATGTACCTGTATTAGATTACTGGAACCTCTACCACGTCCCCTATCAGATCCTCTACCCCTGTCATTACCCCTGCCACGTCCTCTGTGTTCTCTACCTCTAGCTGATTTTCCAGGATCATTTGGGGTTGCATCTCTGAAAGACAAATATTTAATTAATTCATGGACTCAACGACTCATACTTAACATTAAGTAAACTTACTCCTTTTTCTTGTTTCTCTGAGCATTTAAGTTTGGTGTGTATATTTTCTTGGGTTTCTCAGTCTTTATGTTGCCCCCTAATGTTAAATCTCTTGGCAAACGAAAAGAAGTTAGCCTAGATGTGCTACTTGATAAACCAGGTTCTGTTTTAATATTTCTTAAGGTTACAGGCATCGATGTTCCTGATTCTGTTTTTATTTGAACATTTGTTGAAAGCGTATTACTTGAACTGCCTGACTTATCTGATGACATTGTTAATTACTTCCCAAATACCAACTGTCTTATCAAATTTATTCTTCATATAAATAAAGAACCTTATATTACTACCAATACGTATACTTTTAATACAGTGATTATTATCAGTGGTTTTATTATTACAATTTTTCTGCACAGTACATTGTACATAACCTCATACAAGCACAGTAAATATTAATTTTATAATAAAATATCTCTTAACAAGACGTACAAATATCAATGAAAGCACATAATATCGTATCGAAAATTATTACTGAACATCCGTTCTAATATAATTTCGAAATCTTTCAAATTCATAATGTATACATTCATCCACCTCAAACGCATCGCACGTGTCTAGCCATACTAGCCCATTTTGGAATACGCACGTAATAAAGAGTATTTAATATATATATTTGTAAGCATACTCTCAACCGTTCACACATTTCACATTACGTCATGAAAACCAAAAAGTAATTATAAAACGTTATAACTTGTCATTACCGTTAGAAATTTTAAACGAGTTATTTTTTCTCTTAGCAATTTAAATTCATAGAAAAAAAATAAAATGATATGACAGATCTCTGACTCGAACAAAATTTAAATTCGTATTCTAAAAGAATAACGAGTCAAATATCTCTTTGATATTTTTGATATCCCCGCGTTGCAAGCGCATCATCACCCACCGAAGGGCGGGCATTTTTGAAATCGACATTCGAAAGTGAACGCGATTTCTGAGCACCCCAGTATCCGAAGTTCCGACAGGACTCTCCAAAAAAAGCGATAATGCGAACAGTCACCTCCAGGAGGCAAACCAGGGCCGACTCAAACAGTTGTAGCACAAGGTTCCAAAATTATGCGTGACCAAAGTATTTATACGTGTAGTACTTGTTATATTACCAAGAATGAGCAGCAGATAGAATGCTTGGAATTAGCAATATATTCGGTTGACGATAAAATGCGTGACACAACGCATAAGCATGCACGAATGATAATACAACGTGTGGGGATATGATGTATGTCGATATACCGCGCGCAACGATATACTACGCGTGGTGATATATTGCGTGTGCCGATCTATTGCGTAACGACATAACTCACGGCGATACAATGCGTGTCCTTACGGAACAATCACATTATATCATGAATAGCACCCAGTTAAAGTTACGATAAGTCTTTCGTGTACCATAAATCCTTCGAAAACACGGTACCAGGTGCTGGCGAACGCAGCTCGCGCCGGCCCTGAAGAAGATTACCATGTTTTCAGGATAGCTAGTATCAGTGACATGGGCAGGAGAACAGACTCGGTGTGATGAGGTCATCGTATGGTTTTTTAGCCGCGCCGGCAGTCGCGACGCGGAGCGCCCGAACGCCGGCTGCTACGTATAATCCTGCGGCGGGGACATGCCTGCCATGTGCCTGTCCGCGACGTATCGTTTCTCCGATCGCGAGTGCAGCGTGTCCTCCTTCTTTCACGGTGTCACGAAACCATCGCGAACACGTTCACCTTCCTTTTTAATTCGTCCGATCTACCGGTTCCACGGGTGATCACGCTTTTCAGTGAGTCTCGAATCCCCGGCTCGGGCCTACAAGTGTTTGATTTCGAATCAACGTAATTTCTACCGGTTAGACAGATGACCGATTTAAAAGCCGACCGGTCAACCACGCTCTTAAACCTGTTTCCCTCCCCCTTGAACACGGAACACGTCGACTTTTCGAGTAGCCTACCTTCGTGGTACCTGTTCGTGGTATCTTTCGGGCCAAGTCCTTTCTAACGTTCGAGCGGATGAAAATTTATCCGCGAGAACGGTATTCTCGCAACGAGACACGTGCAATTCACTCGCTCGCCAAGTTGCTCGTACACGACAGATTTCGTCGTTGGTCAGATTCGATCGCTTTTTACGTCCTTCGTAAATATTCAAAAGTTTTCTGCACGCCACTAGAAAGCGGTGGCGGGAGGAGGCGGTGCGAAGGATACCACGTGTTTCGGAGTATGCGACGAGCAAAATTCACTTGCGCATGCGCGGACCGCGGTGCTCGTCGAGTCGACGAGTTTCAAATCTCTTATCGCAGACCGCGAAGCGTGCTTCTCCACGAAACGGTGCGCGTTTTGCCCACAACACGGTGAACGTTAGTTCTCGAGTGTCGTCGACGAGATGCCACCGGATACACAGAGAGTATCGGATTCGAGCTCGCTCGCGGGAATCGATAATCAGTTTCTAAACGAACCTTGAGATCATTCCAGGATCGAAACATAACCTTGGCATACTCCTTACCGTTTCGTTATCCGCGCGAACCGTCTCGATGCACTCGACGTATCGTTTCGATTACACGTTGCGAATAACCTGTTGTTTCTGAAATCAGCAAACCGTGCTCGGCGCAATACCGATGCGATCAATCGTTCTGCTCGCTGACAGTCGCTTCGTTCCTCGTCGTCCTTTGCCGGTCGGGTCGCGACACGAAAACATTCGATCGAACACCCGATCAACACCGAGCGATCCGAACGGCACGCGAACGTTCAGTTATCGTGCGCGCGCGTAAACGACCGCGACGTATCGTTTCTCCGATCGCGAGTGCAGCGTGTCCTCCTTCTTTCACGGTGTCACGAAACCATCGCGAACACGTTCACCTTCCTTTTTAATTCGTCCGATCTACCGGTTCCACGGGTGATCACGCTTTTCAGTGAGTCTCGAATCCCCGGCTCGGGCCTACAAGTGTTTGATTTCGAATCAACGTAATTTCTACCGGTTAGACAGATGACCGATTTAAAAGCCGACCGGTCAACCACGCTCTTAAACCTGTTTCCCTCCCCCTTGAACACGGAACACGTCGACTTTTCGAGTAGCCTACCTTCGTGGTACCTGTTCGTGGTATCTTTCGGGCCAAGTCCTTTCTAACGTTCGAGCGGATGAAAATTTATCCGCGAGAACGGTATTCTCGCAACGAGACACGTGCAATTCACTCGCTCGCCAAGTTGCTCGTACACGACAGATTTCGTCGTTGGTCAGATTCGATCGCTTTTTACGTCCTTCGTAAATATTCAAAAGTTTTCTGCACGCCACTAGAAAGCGGTGGCGGGAGGAGGCGGTGCGAAGGATACCACGTGTTTCGGAGTATGCGACGAGCAAAATTCACTTGCGCATGCGCGGACCGCGGTGCTCGTCGAGTCGACGAGTTTCAAATCTCTTATCGCAGACCGCGAAGCGTGCTTCTCCACGAAACGGTGCGCGTTTTGCCCACAACACGGTGAACGTTAGTTCTCGAGTGTCGTCGACGAGATGCCACCGGATACACAGAGAGTATCGGATTCGAGCTCGCTCGCGGGAATCGATAATCAGTTTCTAAACGAACCTTGAGATCATTCCAGGATCGAAACATAACCTTGGCATACTCCTTACCGTTTCGTTATCCGCGCGAACCGTCTCGATGCACTCGACGTATCGTTTCGATTACACGTTGCGAATAACCTGTTGTTTCTGAAATCAGCAAACCGTGCTCGGCGCAATACCGATGCGATCAATCGTTCTGCTCGCTGACAGTCGCTTCGTTCCTCGTCGTCCTTTGCCGGTCGGGTCGCGACACGAAAACATTCGATCGAACACCCGATCAACACCGAGCGATCCGAACGGCACGCGAACGTTCAGTTATCGTGCGCGCGCGTAAACGATGATGCGTCGAGGAGGCTCTAAGCTCCTCGAAGTTTAAACTTTTCATGTGCGTTCGCGCGTGGCGTGTCGCGTTATACCAACGACCACGGAATTACTGTTGAGTGTTATCCGCGAGTTCTAACTACGAGAGTGTGAAGGAACAAGTCGATACGGTACAACACGATTTCGAGAAAATGAACGGCGTGCAGCGGATGCCTGTCGATGCCTTCGACTCCAGGGTGAGTTTACGATCTGTTTAAATTTGTGACAAATTAGCTTGTAACATAAGCATGAACATTGCTACGTATAGAGTTAGTCAAACTGATACTTGGTATCAGATCTACGGTCGATACTATCGAAAATCCGTTTGATACGGAAGTATCTTATTTAGCGAAAATATCGATACTTTTGTGTATGTCTTCATGTAGGCACAACAGGAAAATCGTTACATAGAAGTGACATTAATTCTTCGATATCAACTCCGTCCATTTTTTTCAATCCGGAAGTGCGTAAGTTTAACTCAAAGTGAAGTGTCAGATATTGCAAAGAAAGAAGATATGTGTCATACCGTCATGACACGAAGTTTCATTTTAAACTGCAGAATATTCGTGCGAATGCGAATATTGTATTCGATGTGTTTGAATATAATCGTACGGCGTGAAGATAGCAGTATGCGTCTACGCGGGAAAAATTCGTAGTTGGTGAACGAAATGATTCGTGACATCACGAATCCGCGGTAATCAAAGAAAAAATTGTCTGCGACAATCTGCACGAAATGCGTCTCGATTTACGAGGTTATCGGCGGTCGATGAAGTAAACCGAAGCAATGAAGGTTATTTAAAAAGCATCGTTCGACGCGTGTACACGTAATCGGGTCGACCTTGGCCCGCGTAACCCAGTACATACGACGCCCTTGAACGGGGTCGTTACTTCTCGTGGAAGCAAACGATCGTACAGTTTCTATCGTTGTCTGGACACTGTTCGTTAGTTATGCCTAACCATGGCCTCGATAGACGTTCCATGTTGAATATATTTTGCCTTCTTTCCGCAATCCGATTAGTCCTTGATAAAGTATTCTTATCGCCATTAACAAATCTTGTCCGCAAGATCAAGATTGATCACCTGTTCCTATTTTTATAGCGGTTACTCATATTGTTCTCAGATTTAATTTTATGAAATTGAAGATTATAGGGTTGGAAATAATAAAAGGAGATTGAGAAAGTTCGGAGGGTATGGATGTATGTAATTCTAACTGTTCACTGATATTTCTTGTTCTTTAATTAAATTTATGGTGTCACCACTGACCCCAATAGATAAGTTACGAAGTGGGTATTGTTTAAAGTAGAATATAGAATACGCTTTGATAGGGTCAACAGCGCCGGCGAGTTAATTTCCGCGGCATAGATTGTTGCTTCGTTCAGCTTATGTCCGAGGATTCCCTAAGGAATCACAGCTATTTCTGGAACCATGGTTTTTGGTTGCAAATCATTCTTCTAACATTCTCCACCGCAAAAACGTTCATTTACTTTAATAGTCATTTACTTCAATAGTTATTTACTTCAATAGTCTTTTACTTCAATAGTTATTTACTTCAATAGTCATTTACTTCAATAGTTATTTGCTTCAATAGTCATTTACTTAAATATAATCACTTTACATAATTTATCAGCGGCCCCTGACTTTTCATTAACAACAAGTTTAAGGTACATCAAAAGCAAAATAATTATACATAATAAACGTTAAATTTCATATTCCACGACCCTGGACACCCAAAAAATATTAAAGGCTCCTAAATGCATTTTTATGCAAATA